CTTACCGGAGAAACGATCCCGAGAGCCCTAACGGGCACAATCCAGCCCAAGCTAGACTGCGCTTAGTGCGCCTCCCTCCCTCCCTCCCACTGAAGGGGGGCGGCTGGATTCCTTCCCAGGGTTTCGTGGGGAGTCTGGCCTGCGTCCACACGGCGACGAAGAAGCGCCCAGGCGCAGCCGGAGGATTTCGCTCTGGGCCCGCCGAAGGGCCCGAGGAAGACGGGGCGCCGAGACTGGCAGAGCGCAACCGGTTTCGGGCACTCGGACGTGCAAGGAAGGGACTCACTCCGCGACACTTATCTCTGAGTAAACCGCTCACGGCCGACCGGCAGCCTCAGTTCCCCATCTGTCCAATGGAACGAATGGTGACAATCGCGACCCTGATAACGGAAGTCACTTCCGCGGAGGCCCACAAGGCGTCCTTCTCCCCCCCCCCAAAAAAATAATAATACTGGGCGAAGGGATGTGCAAGAGTGGCTGAGGCGGACTCCTCCGCGGCCAATGGAACGAGGGCTTACTCGGCGGTAAATCGCATTGACTGCAGTGGCATTGGTGTGCCCAGGCTCCGGAACCCCTCTGAGGGTATTTACTCCTTTCCAGCTCAGCGCGCAGAGACTGTCGTGCAGCCCGAACCGAGAGCGTTTCCTCGGCAGGAAGGCTGCGATCCACGAGACACGTCTTAGGGTCCGCGTTCGACTAAAAGATGCATCGGATCGTCCTGCAAGAGCCCCGTTCAATTCGGGGGGGGGGGCATTGCCCAATGGAGATAATAATAAAGTGAGGGTAGGTCCGTTTCTGCGCCGGGGACTTCCACCGGCGCCTGTGAGGCTAACCCTGCCCGGGAGCCCTGGACTTCGCCAAGGCTCCGTAAAAGACAGAGGGAGCGAGCGGGGTCGCGCGTGTCCTGTCTGACCCCCCCCCCCCCCAGACAAAGGTGGCTCCGGGCGCCCTCGCGCAGCTTCCCAGAGGCGACCCTCTCCTGGCCTCACCACGAGCAAACGGAGGGCAAGAGGAGGGAGGGAGCTTCGCGAAGCGGAGGCGCGGGGTGGGTGGCTGTCTTCCCCCCTCGGACTGGACAACGACCGGCCCCCTTCTGCCTTCTTCTCCAGGAGCGGGGAGGGACGCCTCCTGACCCGGAAGTCAGCGCTCAGGCCAGGAAACCCAAAGGGCTAGCGCCTTGGCCAGTTCCGCGGACGCCTGCACCGGCTGGAGTCCCGAGAACTCTGGACGCGGAACTCCCAGCTCAGTGGGCTACAGCCACGATCATCATCAACAACAACAAACGGAATACAAAGAAGGTCGGGATAGAGTTGGATTCACAGAGTTACCCTGAACGATGGTTGAACAAAAAGAAAGCGTTTTGCCACCCACCTACCAACCCAAATAATATGCCAGGGAACCTCCCGCAGCCCGCTGACGTGTCAGAATTGCGATGGTGTTCTAATGTCTATTATTGTTCAAATTGTGTCATTCTAACTGTATTTATTGTATTATTTTATGACGTGGCCCGTCCTGAGCCCGCTTGCGGGATGGGCGGGCTATAATAGAAATAATAAAATAAATGAATAAATCAAGACGCCGAACAACAACAGCATCAAAACATACCCCCGGGGACATCAAAACCTACCCTTGGTAGGTAAAATACAACCAAAGTGTATTACCAAAGAATTAAAAAGACGCTGTGAATAAAATTAAATGGAGGCAGCACGTTGAGGGCAATGACCAGGTGGGCAGAACAGTTCTAAGATACTCCGCTGTCGTTATCGATTGGAAGCAAGCAGAAGTGCAAGCAGTGGATAGCAGAACTTGAGAGATAAAGACGGCGCTTCACTCACTACACCCTAGAAGTGACGTTGGTCATCTTCAGTTGACAAGAAACGTCGGTGGCAGAGGTCTCTTGCAAGTCAAGCAAGCAGCCGAAGAAGAAAAAGGAGCACTGAATGACTACACAGGAGAAAAGCAAAGAGTAGCTTTGCGTTGAAGTGTACGAGGCAGACTCAGTTAAGGTTGCAGAAACCAAAGGAGATTACAGAGAGACTGGAGTCAAAGCTCATGTTGGCAACTGGAGACAAAAAGCACCAGCACGGCAATATTTGAAAGACAAATAAAGTTGATAGTGAAAGCACCTGGAAGGGGCACCAAAATGGGCACTTGAAGAAGAGACAGGAGGATTCATTCTCGCTGCACAAGGGCAGGGACTCAAAAGGAAAAGTATGGTGTTTCCACAATCACGTTGCCAATGTTGTTGCTGTCTCGTTGGTGCTTCTCCTTTTTGACAAATTAGGACATTGTATGTTGCTGTGATCATACCTTTGGACACTGTGTTTCTAGGATCAATTAGTTTTTCAAAGGGAGTCATTGGGACTTTCAGTAAGTAGGTTAGATCCAAATTGTATGCAAAATTGTTGAAATCTGTTCATAGAAATGTTACTGAAATCTGTTTGTGAAAAAATTAATAAAAAGAACTTTTTTAAAAAAAGGAAAAGTATGGAAGCCAAGATTCAGAAGACCAGTGATCATAGTGGATGTCGACTTTGCAAGACAAAGGATGGAACAGTCGACCCATGGTCAGTGCCTGTAGTAGAATTGCTCAGACTGACTATAAAGGACGTCAGGATACAGTTGCAGCTCCGTCGCACTGGAATCTTTGCAAGAAGTATGGTTGACCATCAGGCAGAAATTCATGGCAGCACAAACCAGGCAAGATCATGGAGGACGATGAAACAAAGATTTTTGGGACTTCCAATTACAAGCAGATAAACACCTGGAGCATAATACCCTGATGTCACCACGTGTGTGGGTTGTGTGTGTGTGTGTGTGTGTGTGTTTGAGAAATTGGGTTTGGATCATTGACATTGCAATCCCAGGGGACAGCAGAATAGAAAAGAAAGAACAGGAGAAGTTCGTGAAATACCAAGACCTATGAATAGAATTAGAGCACCTTTGGGAGAAGAAGGTTACCGTTGTGCCCAGTTGTCATTTGAGCCCTTGAGCCTAAGAGTCTCAAGGGACACCTGGACATTCTGGGCACTGAGCAAATAACACCTGGTCAGCTCAGAACACAGTATTGCTTGGAACAGCAAGAATCCTACAATTTCCAAGAACTTGGCTAGATCTCGGACTGCAGAACACCATCTACCAGTCCAATATCAGACTGTGACCATTCATCACCATCACCTCCAAGTGGCATCTTATTCAGGGCGCCACTCACTGTAGTGGTTTTTAAGGCATGTGCAGTTCCCAAGAACTTGGCTAGATCTCCAGTTGCAGAACACCACCTACCAGTCAAATAGCGGACTGTGACAATTCGTAACAACAACAACATGCAATAAATGCAAGCAGTGAGCTAATGTTTCTCTGGCTTTCCTTTTTTCCATTTGCTAATAATAATAAAAATAGCCTGACAGTGCAAATTCTCGTCTTAGGAAAGTTCTCCTGCAAACGCTTGCCTTGACAAGAGTGGGAGTGGCATGCCTGTCAATAAACCCTTCCCTTACGAGGAAGCGTTTCACCAGTTGATAGTTCTCTTTTATTGCACTGGTTTGCACAGGAGATCTGCCTGACAAGTTTACCCAAATAAAGTATTCAGAAAATCGCTTGATTTTACAAATCGGGGGG